ATTTTCCTTCTTACAGGATCTGGAACAGTTTGTAGCAGAGAATTCTGTCCATGGGCCTTAGATAATCAAAAAACTCTCCAAAAGAAAAGAATTCTCTCCATACTGTTGCCCTTTGGCTCTGGAGTATGTCTCTGCCAGGTGTGGTGTGGCAAATAGGGTAATCAGAAGTTTTCTGGGAAGTGCCTTCTCCAAATTGCATGAAGTGTTTCTAATTTGCCTTGGCCTGACAAGCACAGGCATGAATTTCCAATGAAAATTTAAGAGCTGTGAGCTGATTGATCCAGAATTGACTTGAACATGAAACAACTGCTTCTGGAAGGCCTAAAATTTGCTTCAGGTTAGTGATTTTTGGGTGCCCAGGTTATTAGCTGCATCTTTCAGCAGAGACGACTCTAGTGAAACCTATGCTGTTCTACTCAGGTGCCAGCAAGAGTGAAAAACAACCAGATGGATTGGCTTCTAGCTGCCACCCTAACACAAAATTCAGAAATGCACCAATTCTTTCTGCCCAGGAAAAAGAAGAAATCCCTTTTGCAAAGATTTGGCCTATAGCAGCATTAGATGCTGTGTCTTCTTGTTAATTTCTGAGCTCCTGTGTTGCAATTTTTTTTTCTATTTTTTTGCTTCTTTTCTACACTGCAGAGTAATTATAACAAAGACCTTTTATTCATGTGTAGCATAGAGCAGCTTCCTTTTACTTATAATTTGTATCATGTTTATAATAATGTCTGATACTTTTTCCTGTTTGCTTGGAGTGAGAATCAGGGAAGATAATGCTGAAAGAAGTCAAATGTTGATAGGATGGTTTCACACTTTGAAAACATGCAAAGATAGAGAAAGAATACAGAAAATGCTTTTAAAAAATAACAGTATCAGCACAGCAACTTTTCCTATTCTTCAAAATTTATTACAAATCAGTTAAGAAGCTTATTGTCAAGAAGAACATTTTTTGATTAATTCCTAGGTCAGTACAGAAACAGAACTGTGGATTTCTGCAGGAATGATGGCTACAAACAGACGAGTCAGTGAGGTCCCCAGAGCTCTGTGTCCTGTCTCTGATCCCAGCCAGGGAAGGATTCTTGGGAAGCATTTTAACAGCAGTGCCCATAAGGTCTGGTACAGCCCTAGGTATATTCTTATTTCTTTTCCAAGTTAGAAAAACCCCGGGCTGTTCACTTTCTCTGTGTACAGAAATCATCCTCTTTTACTGTTAATTTTCTAGGGCTGCTGCTGAGCCTGTGACTTGGGTGGTCACACTATTTGCTCTTACTGAAAGCACCAGAGAGTCAATTAAAATCAGTGAAAGGGCAGGCGTGAATTCATTCAGTCTTTTGATCCAGCTTGCTTTTATGTAATGAAATTGAAAGGTACAGATGATTTTCAGAAAGATGATTAACTCCAATCAGGTAGATAAGCAAACCTGTTAACAACTATGGCATGTCCCCAGGTGCCCCAGCGAATCAAGACTCATAAGGACACAATTTAAAATATTTTAATTATTACTTTTTGAATTTGTAGTTTAGTTAGGATCTTGAAAATGTACAATGATTAATGACTATCTAGTCAAGTGACTGTAAAAATGTATTAAGCCCCTAAGAATGATAAATCTTCTGTAGATGAATACAGACTGACAGTCAAGGATCACGTGTTCTCCAGACCTTTTGATAAATGTTCTTGCTTTTATTTCCAATAAGCTATGATACTTGAAACTGGATCATTTATTTTCACTAATTTATCTTTGTTCTCATGGGTAGCAGCTCCTCTCTTTCCATATTTTCATCCTAGAGAAACACAGTGGAGGTTAGATCATCATTAGTAACAACAGACTTAATAAAATCAACTGGAATATGTGATGTAAGTTCAAATTAATAGCATGGCAGCTGCTTGGTTAGATTAGGAAAAGAGTGGTAGAGAACTGTCCATTGTGCCTTGTGACTATGGAAATCCTGTACATCTCAGCAATGAGTAATTTCATTTTGTCCTCAATTCCAGAATGTTTCACTAGCATATTATATTGCTATGAGGTTCATATGTTATATGTGCTCTGCATACCAAGAATGAAAGAGTCCTGCCCCGATAGCTTTCTAATCCATCTTTCCTGCAGCAAAAATCTCAAGGAAAATCCATGCAGCCATCCTCTTGTTAATTAAAAAAATTCTGTAGGTTTTTTCCCCTTGTTTTATATAAAAGATGGGATCAATTCAGTCCCAATACATAAGGGGGATTAAAATTCAGAACTGTACCTTTACTTTTTGATCTTACAAGTGATAAGGGATTTGCAGTAGTTATCTCAGACATTATCCTCCTTCCATTCTTTTCCAGTAGCAAAGCTTTCCCCTTCACTAAATAAGATCTATTAAATTAAAAATAAAAATCCAGAGTACTGTCTCACTGTGGAAAACAGAAATCCAGGTGAGATAGGAGGGGAAACCACTCCAGTGCCAGGTGTTGCAGGCATGTTCATGAATAGAGGAATTCATGGGGCATTTCCAAAGGAGATGTCACCCCTGTATAAACAGAAGTAGAAGAGCAAATCAAATCTCCAAGGCTCTGTGACTAAGGTGCTTGCTCCTAGGAGGAGATTTGGAGATATATCTTGGAAGGCTGAGGACAGTGCATGCTTTCTGAACACCACTTGGGATTCACTGACAAGGGGATTCTCTGGAACAAGGAGCTTTAAAATGCTTGTTAAGCTTGGAATGGAGCCTAAAGGACCTGCCAGGATGTGAAAAATCTGCCAAGCCTTCTGTCCTCAGGTAGAGGGGTAGTGACTTCACTGGGGAGCTGCAGATATCAGGGTTGAGTAATGTAAAAAGGATCTGTTTGTGTTGGTAGGTCAAAAAAGCAAAGGTTTTGACATGGAGAAGACAGATCAATCTGAGTCGTAAATTAAACCGAAGGTCAGCTCTTTTCCCAGCATATGTGTCATTTCAGAAGGAAGAGGCTTGCAAACTACTGTGAACAGAGTGTACTGTGTACTGCACTGTACAGCTGGGAAAATTCCACAATGATATTCAAACTGCAGAAACTAATGTTTATTCCCAGTTTTCACTCAAGCTGTTTCAGCTAAATATACTGCAGGATAGTTTGAAAATCTGTGATACAATATAAGACACCTACTTTTTTTTTTTTTTTTACAGAGTTAACGGGACAATTTTAAGTGAATTTTTCTTCTAAGTAATAAATTTGTTTGGGGATTAACATTTTTTTCTTGCTTAGGTAGAACATTTATTCCACAATGATGAAGTGCTTTGATCATTAGAATAAGCTGTGACCACAGTGCTATCACGTTCTCTATCATTTATTCAAGGTTGTTGAAATAAGACTAAGCCTCTTATAAATATTAAGTATTCAGATGTGGGATTCTTTTACTACCTTCAAACTAGTTCCATTTAAGAAAATGAGGAAACAGTGAGCTTACTTTGGTTGGTCCTTTTGTTTGTAAAGTCAAATCTCACCATTGCTCTTTCAGCTATGATGCCAAAACCCAGGAAGATGGAAGTGGAAATTGTGGGGGTCATTTGTAATGTGAGGGGTCTTCATCTGACTCCTTCCTAGGTGAATGTCAGCAGGTCAACCTGCCAGCAAAGAGGAGGGGAGAGAATATGGGCTGCTCTGAACCAACCCCATTAGGGCACCAGTTTTCTGAGGCAAGGTCTACAGCCAAACACAACCACTGCAAATACCAGGACAGGGATGGGCCCAGGATGATCTCCTCTGCTATAAACCACAGCCTGTATTCCTAGGGAAAATAGATGTTGCGTTCAGTCCCAGTCAGAAAGGGACAATTTATGTAAGTAAAAAACTGTTTTCAAAGTATAATAGATCAATAACTTATTGTCAGTCAATGAGCTATACACAAGGAATGAAACATCTCCTACATTATGTGTTTATGTTTTTAAGTATTTATGTATACAGGATTCCATCTTCACTGAATATCACGCAGTGATATTTCCTCAGGCATCTGGCTTCTGCCTGAAAATTTCCACGATAGTTAGAAATATGTGAGATGAAGAAATAGAGATCTGCTGCAGGCCTCGAAAAAAAACAAATGTTGAGCAGCTTAAATCATGTGCCTTAAATCCTAGGTAGTGGAGTGGCTACCCACAGAGCAAGAGTTAGCTGTCATGTGGTGAGAGATGGGAATGGCTTGTTGAAGTGTGTGCTCTCCTGCTGTGGCACAGCAAGCAGAGCGTTCTGCAGGCTCCAAGTGCATCAGGGCCCTGGAGCAATGGACCTCTGCAGGACACATGGCCCTGTCTCCTTGCCAGTGCTCCAGACCACTTCCAGCCAGGGCTGTGTCTGAACAGTGAGGAAAAGCCAGGGTGATTTCTGTGCAGATGCAGAGGGGGCATGGTTTGGCTCTTACCTGAGCCAATATTGTCCTATTTCTAAAGTGCTTTGGAACCCTTTGAGACAGCATATGGTGATAATTACACAAGATAAATTTCCATACAATATCATCTTTACTGTGAATAGGGCTTGGGAGAATAAGATAATGGTTGGCTGCTGCAACTTCTCCTTAGTATAGTTAATAATTAATTCTTGAAAAAAGGTGACTTTTTTTGTTATCTAAGAAAGGGGCTCTGGCACCATTTAATCCATCTGCAAATATTTAGGAAAACAGGGTCTGCAGATGAGAATGATGGGAATATATGCTGTTCCATATTGATAATGCCTTGCTGTGCTGGATTGATGTAATCTCTTAATGACAGCATGATTATTTTCTTTGTAGAACTATGTTTTTGGGGACACAATTCCTTGGCAGGGATGTTTGGGATTATTTCATTGCTCTTCTATGCAGCATGTCCTTCAGCAGAGAGCTGAGGGTAAGATATTGGTGCTGTACACCTTGTCCTAGTTACTCTTTTAGTTACTCTTTTGGAAGTAAAACCCTTTTGGAAGGGTTGAAGTGCAGCTCTGTGCCCAGGGGTGCATCCTGAACTGCTGCATTAGTTTGGGACAAAGTGTGGTGCTTCCTTCTTTTCTTCTCCTTCCAGGCTTCACCAAAACCAGCCTGTCCCCCCTCCAGGAGAAGTTTGAGTTAGCAGCAGTCTCCTTCCCCTCTCGTGTTGGCAGAAATGCTGCTGCCACTGCTGCCATGTGGCTTGGAGTGACTTCAGATGTGACTCCTCCAGAGGGTCCTCCCCGAACTCAAGTTATTGGTGAGCAATAAACTGACCATTTTAGGATTTTGGACTAAACTTGTAATGGTTTATCCCAAGTTTTGGTTGAGCTCTTGTTTGTTCCTGCAAACATTCACCTCTAGATTTCACCCCACATAATTGATATAATGCCATTGCCCCAAAGCATGTCATTTGCCCAGTAACAGCCCAAATTACTCAGGGGTTGCTGACTTTGACCTTTTAAAATGCATTAGCTACAGGAATTGCCATGACCCCAATTACTACAAATATATTCATGGATCAATGACCCTGCAACCAGACTTCTCCTCCTGACTAAGCATTAACCAGAAGAAGTATTGTGGAGCTGCCACAGATTTTTCTTAAGCTACTTTAGTGGTAAGACCATCTGACATGTATCTTGCTCCTTTCATCCTTCTAGAGGACTTCTAGAATATTAGTGAATTAAGATGGACGGGACTTCTGGAATGATATTTGATCAACCTATCAGAAATGGAGCTTGAAAATACTTTGGGATGCAACATCTATCCTATTTTCCTCATTGTTATTGATTGTTCCATTGGCACAATGTAATGAAGAACAATTTTTTTCCTTTTTTCTAATTGTTCAGAAGTTTGAGAGTCCTGGCAGTGCAGCTCAGCAGTGTGAGGGAAGAACCATAAATAATTTCTTGTTTTGGCTATGGTCTTTCAATAACTTTGTAGATAACTTTCAATTATCTAGAGAGGGGTGGGGAAGAGAAAGTTGTGTTAAAGGTGAGATGAAGAACATCTGCCTAGTCTGTGTGTCCTTTCTGTGCCTCTGACTGTCTCCTGAGGACACAAAGTCAAAGGTAACTTGAACTCATGGGATCTTTTACATGAGCTGTCCCTAAGAGTTCAAGGTGCAAGGACGTTACTTCAGGGTGCAGGAAGTTGGAGTGCTGGAGTGCCCCAGACTGCAAGATATTTCTGTAAATGAGGGGATTTTCTGATGTGATCATCTCAATTTTTTCACAGGGGCAGAGAGCCCTTGCTGCATTTGTAGTCAGACCCTATTTTGCATCACCAGGAAATACATTCCTTTACCCACGCAGTAAATTAAAAAAACATACACACATCTACAGAGTCATTTATGTAAGCATTACAAAATTGTGATTGTCAGGAAGCCTTGCATTAAAACCTTCATTCCTGATTAGAAAATGGCATGCTGAGTACTTCAACCCACTTTGCACTTCAAATCAAGCTATTATTAGGACATCTGTCCGTTCAGTCGTTTACTTAATGAGAACTGTTTTGTAGAGATGCAATAATGATGCTTCAGTATAAAACTTCAGCTAAAAGTCTGATTTTGTTAAGCATCTCCTCACAAAATAAAATAGTAAACCTTGCTTTTGCAAAGCTTGAAGAACACTGAGAACATTGATGTAAATCTGGACCTTGCCATATTCCCTCAAGCATGACTTTGTAACTCCCACATGGAACTTGGCCCGTCCTCCATCCCCACTGGATTAATGAAATGCTGCAGTGCACATGGAATGTGTGCTCATTTAGACCAGAGGATGTAGCCTTTGGGACACCCAAAGGAGCATGCCAGAAAATCATAGAATACTTTGGGTTGGAAGGGACCTTTAAAGGCCATCCAGTACAACCCCCCTGCAGTGAACAGGAGCATCTTCAGCCAGATCAGGTTGCTCACAGCCCTGTCCATCCTGACCTGGGATGTTTCCATGGATGGGGCATCTACCATGTATCTGGGCAACCTGTGCCAGTGCTTTACAACACTTATCATGAAGAATTTCTTCCTTATGATTTAGGAGGAAGACCAGAAAATACAGGGTTCTAGCACTGAAAAGTCAGTAGGATTTGCTCATCTCTTTTCTTAGTTTTGGGAAAATAATTACATGCTAAGGAGCATTGACAAAATGGTCCAGAAAGCTGAGATTCAGGAGGACAATGCAGACAGCAGTGCATGAAGACTGGAACTGCTCCTGAGACCAGGTCCTGGCAGCCAGGACCCATTGGAAATAATTTATACGAAACCACATGGGAGCCATCACCCGGGTTGGACTGAAATTCCTCTGCAACAGCCCTGGGAATGACCAGTCCTCATCTTGATGCTGTGGTCATGGATTTCAGAATTTTTCAGTGAGCTTTAAAACCCTGCACTGATGTTCTGGAGGTCACTCTGTATGAAAAAAACATTTTCCTGATGTTCTCAGTATATATTAACATTACTACAGCAAGGTCTGCTCTCATCACCACAACATCAGGGACCTGCAGCACCTATGACACTACATTTCTCTGCAAAGAGTGTCTGCTCTGTTTGGCAGTGGTCGCATCCACTGCTCTTGGGTTATGCTTGGTGGAATATTATGTCTTATTTCTTCTACCTCAGCCTCTGTGAGAGTATTGCTTTTGTGACAGCTAGCAAAACCCCTAGCATAGGGATTACAGGAACAAGAAACTGTTGAAGGAATAATATTTTTGTTAATTGTATTCCTTAATTTGAAATATGTAGGGTCCAAAAATACATGAACTGAATCTACAGTCTACCATGGCTAATGTTTTATAAATATTAAAATGGAGGCAGACAGCCTGAAAAATTGCTGGAATTAAACCTACTATTAAGCAAATTCTCTCAGATGCTCTCAGATCTCTCTTGAACATGAGAAGAAGGGGAAATTATGAAAGGAAAACACAGTGACTCCATTGCAGATAGAAAAGATAATGCTGTATAAAGAAATGAAAAATTAGTTAATAATATTTACTTTAAGTATGAATCTACAGACAGTCATGCAGATAATGCTCATTAAAAAAGAGTAGAAAATTCTTTTTAGTGCAAATTTTTATTCAGCTGACTTGTTCAATTTTCTGTCACTTGTATGTGGAGTGATTTATTCTTGAGTTCTTTGCAGGCACCATTTGTTTCACATTTGAAATGCCAATGATGATCAAGGTGTCTTCTGTGAAATGCCAGAAAAACAAAATCCAGGGAGCTATAGGGATGATAAGAAGAGACTCCTGATCCTGGACCACGCAGATTCTTGTTGGAAGGGTGCGCTTTGCTTTAACTCCTCAACACATATGGAGACACCTGTGCTAGAGTGGGCTCCCTTCATTATTGACAAAAGTCACTATTAATTTGCACAGCCCCTTCCTTGTGATGGGATTTAAGCAGATGGTGCTGCAAGAAGGGTGAGTTTGGAGGATCCTGACCTCTGGCTGCCTCCTCCCCCTGGGTAAATTCCTGTTTGTGTGTTACAGATCTCAACGACCCAAGGAGGAAAACTGCCAATGTGCAAAATTTCATTAACTTGCAAGGCAGCAAGACAGAGTCCCCCAGGCCAAATTGCAAATCTGCAAATCATGGTGTAAGGTAGAGGTGAAGAACAAAGTAGTAGAAAAGGAGAACAGAGGGAACAGTACTGATGGTTCCCATCACTCCTTGTTGAGGCTGCTCCGAGAGTCCACTGAAATACCCAGGAACACAGCTTTGGTTTTGGGAGAGTGGGAACACTCTGGACCCAGCTTCTCCAGCCCTCCTCCTGTGCAGGAGATGTGCTGGCACTGTCACAGCCACAGAATACAGGAAGAAAGCTGCACAAGGAAGAAAAACTTAACTCTGTTGGAGCTCTGAATGCTTCTAAGAAAAACTGCTACCTAGCCTAGTGTCTGCACTTCTGCTCTGCTGCCTCAGAAAGGTAAGAGCAGTAAGGGTGTCAGTTTTATAGTACCTTGAAAGTATTGTCTGACATTGTCGTTTCCTTGGAGGCTATGTTGCTGATTACCTGCATATTAATAATGATGATTTATTCTACTAAGGGAATTCTCTTTAAGAAAGAAAGTCTGTGGTTTACAAGCTTTCCCAGCCTCTCTATCAAAGTCCTAGGGAAACATAAGGATTTGAGCTTCCACGTACTAAAATCTGATGGAAAAATAAAAATGAAAAATATCACTCACACTTCTTCACACATTGGCAGTGTGTGCAGTGCTTTCCACTCTGTGAAATGATAATAAATGATAACAGAGCAGGTTGATAAGAGATAACATAGCTTGCCAAAAGTGTGCAGACATAACCAAATTAAGACACTGTGCACCCTGAAGTTTTCAGGCTACCTTGGCAACGCTAATGAACTTTTAATGGCTGAAAGGGCCAGAACAGTTTAAGCTTCTCTTTTTAAAACAAACTTTGAGCAGTCTTTGCTCAGATTAAACACAGTCCCCTACCTCTTCTTGCTTTTGCGATAGATTTTTTCCTGAGTTGAACTCAATAATGAATTATTTCCTCTGATTCATGGGTAGAAAATCCTTCCACAAGTCTTTTCAGTTTGATGCTAAAAAGGAACCCACAGTGTGAAAATCCAGGCTGAGTCAGCCTTTACACCAGTTTCTGTGAAAGAATCATCCTAATTTCCAATTATCTAAAGCAGTGGCTGCTAAAGTATTGATGCTTCTAGTTACAGGCATCAGAAATTAGTTACTGAAGCAAATTGCCTTGCTGTGTTTCCATTTTCAAATGTAATTCCACTGAAGGGACTCTTGGTTTTCCCATTAAGACATTTTTTCAGAAGGCTGAGAGCTATCTTGGACATGCAGTTGTCTTGCACAAAGATGTTTTATGGAGTAGGAATTAAAGAACTCAGAATATTGTGATTCTGTCTGAGGCCACTACTTGACATCACTTTGAACAGGTGTTCTGCAGAGGTCTTGGCTTAACAGGGCCAGCTGATGGGCCTTGTCAAGTGCAGACTTTTTGGCTCTAGTAATGAGTGCATGATGAGCACAGAGAAGTGCTGTGATTACAGGCAGGTGTTGTACTCCAGAGCTCATGCCCTAAAGTCAGTGCAGACAGACCAATTCTGGTGCTTCTAGAACATCAGGAAAGCAGTGAATGATCTGTAAGTAGGGCGCCATAAATTAATTTATTTAACCTTATTACTATGCTTCTAGCTTCCTGAATTAGGCACCCAATTGTCTGTAAAATGTGTAAGGAAAATTTAGAGTTACAAACCCACACCCTGTTGGGCAACTGCTAGTAGAAACACTGAGTAGTAAGTGTGGGCCTAATTTTATCTGCCAGCATCTCAGAAGTCAGATGTGTGGCTAAGAGGGAACTCACATCCTATTTGCACGTGTAGCTCATGGAAGGGAATTGTCTGAATGCCATCTCTTGTCACAGGTGAAATGAGAGCAAAGAGGAGAGCTCTTCACGCCCTGTACCCTTGTCCAGGAATTCAAAAGCTCTCAGGCCCAGATCCAGCACCTCACCCTGCCTGCTCTGAATGTTCCTGGGTTTGAGCCTGACTCTTGAGAACAGTGAGAAATGGCAAAGCTTGGGTGAAGTACCCCAGATGGGAGTCCTGCTCTGAGCTGGTGCCCTGGGCTAGGGAGGAATGTGCTGGTTCTGCTCATGCGTTCAGCAGCTTGCATGTCCTGAACCAGCACTGAGAGAAGCTTCAGAGCTTCACTTCTGAAGATTTTTGAACAAATAGGAATGAGAAATCTCTGTGTTAGGCAGCACCTCAGAGATGTCTTGGAGGACCTGAGTACTTACATTTGTCTGTACATCTGGTCTTGGGTCACGCACTTTGGCCAACAACTGTTCTCAAATGTAGTAACTTTGCTACTGTAATGAGACAGTGTGTGGGAGTGTGAGTGTGAGTAGTGTGCAAGAGTGGGTGTGAGTAGTGTGCAAGAGTGTGAGTGTGAGTAGTGAGAAGTGTGCAAGAATGTGAGCAGTGTGCAAGAGTGTGAGCGTGCAAGAGTGAGTGAATATAAGTAGTGTGCGAGAGTGTGAGTGTGAGTGAGTGCAAGAGGGTGAGTGTGCAAGAGTGTGAGTAGTGTGTGTGAGTGTGCAAGAGTGAGCATGAGTGTGAGTAGTGTGCAAGAGTGTGAGTGATTGTGTGTGAGTGTGAGTGAGGGTCCCTGGTGTTGTGCAAATGTCCTGCATGAATCTAAATGAACATGAAGTGCACCTGCACTCCCTCTATTGCACTTACCCCGACAAATAACATCCTCACACTTGCAAGCCGTTTGGAGCTGGCAGATGCTGCTTTGCTGTTACCTGTGTGTGCAGGGCTTGTGCACATGGTGGGAGTGGGACACCTGAACTACCATCACCATTTAGGGAGAAATAACTGCTAGTCTTCTCGGGTTCTCAAAATGGCATCTCTATGACTTTATTCATCCCATTCTAAAATGGACAAGTAATGCTTCCTCTCAGAAGTCTTTATGTATGGGTTTAACACAATTTAAGTAGAAAGCATTAAAAAAAAACAAAGGCCAACAACAACAAGAAGAACAACAATACTGACAAAATAAGAGGCATTTTGTGTGAATCTCAAATCAGTTAATTATTCAGAAATCTTTTCTTAGTCACTTTCCCTTATCTATTTTTCTATTTTCCATTTAATATCAGATGTCTTCAGTGTCTTAATATCAGACTTCTTTCAGTGTCTTAATTAGTCCATCCATAAATATGGATTGGTTATTATATATTGAAATAATATCACAGTAGTCCTTTTTATATTAACTTTCACCTTAAGACCAGCAATTTCTTTACTTTGAATTGGTTCTTTTCTGTTATAGTTTAGCTTAGAAGTTTTGTGCAATATGTGGCTTAAATTATTGCTACTTTTTTTTTTTTTTGGCTTTATTTCTTCATTAGTGCTTTTGAAACTCTTCAAGTTTTAAAACATTTAAATCTCAAATTATACTTTATGATTAAGAGAAAGTAACTTTTGCTTGTAATCCAAACACATCTTTAATGTAAATAAAGGTCTTCTGCTCAGGCAGGAAAAACGTGTCTATGTGCATGTGGTCACACTGTAACACTATGAACAAATTTCCTGTAAGGTATGTATCTTTAATATTCAAGACATCAAATACAAAGCAGTGTGCAGTTCTTGGTATGATAAAATAGCTTTGCTGTGCATCTGAGAAAATCCCTCCAAAGATTTCCTTACAGTCTTCTGAACCTCTCTGAGGCTCTTAAATTAGTGCAGAGGTTTCCCAATGGATGGTGACAGAATGAAGCACAGATTTGTTCATCTCTCTGGTATATATTCCCACAGAAAGCTGTAACACCAACTCTGGGGATGAGATGCCAGAGGGACTCTCACTGTCTCTATTTCTAGTTTCTTATGCTCTTTCATCAAGGATTCATAACTGTCACATACAAAATAGCAGGATAAAGAGTTTTGGGTTGCTAAATCTTGTTTGGTTTTAGGTTCTACCTCCATGCTAAAAATACTTATATTAATATATATTTTTAAAAACACTCTTTGTTTTAATCTTAAGAAAATAAATAAAAATAATACAGTTAAACACAGAAAAAATACTACATAAGATTCTTTTTTCATACATCTGTTAGGAGAAAGTAAATTTTTTTTGAGTCATCTGAAAAGCAAAATTCTTTGAAAGCTTTTAAGAACTAGGGTACAAAAGGACTGATAAAAAGCCCCTAAGCAATATTCTAGAATTTCAAGTCAAATACTTTTAGTAAATAACAGAAAGTCCTATAATAACAACAATCAATTCAACTAAACATATCCATTAGTTGAAATCAAAGGAAAAATGTTGTGAGATATCATTTTAAATTATAATAAGTTTTTCTAAAAAAAATATGTCAGTTGCATAAAGTGTTGCAATATACTGGCAAAGGTAATTAAACAAATTCTCTTGCATTTCTACTGCCAGGCCTTGGCTCCAGCTGAGAAAAAGTCCAGAAGAGATCCACGACTGGTGGGATTCATTAGACATTTTGGTATGTAGCAAAAGGAGGGACAATATCAGATTCAGATAACAGAGAAAACATTTTAATTGAATCCAGCTGTAATTCCATCAAAGTCACCATTCCTCCTCAATTTGAAGCAGAAGGCTAATGGCTGCTAGATTTCCAGCTCCCTCTGGGAATGTGGTTTGTGGAGACCCTTGAGCTGTTGGCTTCTAATTTTGAACCAGATCAGGTCTGGTTTGGGTCTGTCCATCAGACGGGTAGCTAATGGAGACAGGCGGGCAGAGCAAGATTTGCTCTGAATAATCACCTTCCTCAGACACTGTCTCCTTTCTTTATCTCTGAGCTCTTGATTTTGGCTATGACATTGTGGTGAAGTACAGGACTGGAGCAACAGTCTTTGACATTTAAAATTAGGTGACATAACTTCTCTGGTCAGGAAATCCCATCATAAAGGTTTCCTCCTGGACAGAAGAATGCAGGCTGAGATTAGATGCAGCAATCACATTGAGATGATGAACAGGCCCTTTGAGTCCTTTGGAGAATTTTCTTTTCACACATTGCTGCAGCATGTCAAAGTGTTCTGCTGGTTATTTGGAGAGGGGAAGGCTTGCAGCTTTGATGGGACAGATGGGGCAGAACTCAGTGCCTGCATTGGTGGCTTGGAAATGTGAGAGCAGGAGTTTGTGATTGTCACCCCAGTCCCCATCCCACCAGAGGGGTGTGGAGCAGGAAGGGGTACCAGGACTTTGCAGTGGCCTGCAGCAAGTGTGCAAAATTCCCTCTGGGAACCCAGGAAAAGAGAGCTGACAGGGCCAGAATAACACCTTCAGTTCCTTTCATTCTATTTGGTCCTGGCGGAAAAGATAGTCCAAGTCAGAAAGACAAAAAGTAATGATGAAAAGGTCATCCATTTGTACAAGGCCACTGTTCTTGTAGCTCCTGTCATTCTCTCAATTTTCAATTTTGGAGGACAGTAATAGCTAGATTTTCTTTAAAAACAGATTTGAAGACCTTTAGGGTCAAAAGAATTCGTGATTTCACATTTCTAATATTTTTTTCTCATTCTTGTTAGTTTAGGAGAACATTAAAAGAGTTTTGTTTAAATGTACTTAACAAAGAAATCCAAGTCACCTCAGGCTGGAATTTGAAAGTCTGAATTCAATTCAGATGAATTTTTAAAGATCTATTCATAATGCCTTAAAGGGTTTGTGTATGAGGAATGTTTTTAGTTTTTTCCACAGTCTTTCCAAGAGCGTATCACATCCTTTTTCTTTAAACTAGTGGCCTATTTTCTCTTTGATATATGTTCTCATTTAGAATTCTAAATCTAATGATTTTTTTTCTCATGCTGACAAAGAGAATAAAAGGCTCTACACTGTTTTCCTTAACATTTTAAAATCTCAAACAAACATGAAAACTGCAAGAAGTCACTTTAAAAGAGTTATATTAAATAAATGCTACAGCAGGATTGGGTCCTTCTCCTGAAAGTAGAACAAAAGAAAATGAAAAACAGCTCTTCAAATAAGCATTGAATTTCCCCAGGTGGAGATGAAACACTGGCAGTTATCTCCAAGGCTATTTATGTTAGTCAAAGTGTTGTTCCCTAAGAACCTGAACATCTTAGTGTTTGGAGATCAAAAATGGGGCTTTAATTTTACCTTGTGCCAAACCAATGGCCCTAGAAATTGCCCAGCGTGCTGCCAGCTGCCTATTCAAGCAAGATGCATAGCAATGGAAAAAAACCCTCATGTTTCTCCTGTTCCTAGGTCCCTGTGTGCTGTGCATACATCTCATCACAGCCAGTCAAAATCCTTTCCCACCAGTCTAACAAATGTATATTCTTGCTTCACAAATCCCAACCCATGAAAAATAGAAATTACTTCCTTGTAATGTCCCCCTTTGTATCTTGAAGTATTCCTTTCCAATAATTTCTTGGGTTTGTTTTTTGTCATTACAACAGTTGCTAGCAGAAGCACAAGAGTGAAGGTTTATAACAGCTTGCACTATACTTGTTTCAGTATTTTTTTCTGTGGAGATAAAAAACTTTCCCAAATTTCCCATTGTGAAAAGAAATTTTCCCAGGCTTGGTTATATTTAAAAGCAAAATTATTTGGAAAGTTTGAGTTAAGTCTCATAAGTGGCTTTTAAATGAGGGGAGAATGAGAAGCATAGGAAACTTGGTAAGGTCACAGGACACGATCCTGCTCCCATAGACATCAGCAGCAATGTTCCCAAAGTCCTCCCAGAGGATCTAGAACCAGGGACAGGGACTGTTGCTCTGCATTCCTTGTATAGGCAGAGTTGCCAAAGAGTCTTGGTGCAACACTGGTGTGAAGTACAAATCCCAAACTCAACAAGGCAACATGAGCCTGTACAGATCACCACAGGTTGGATGAACCACTTAAGTGCACACACAACCCAAGACTCCAAAGCTATTTGGTTCTCACTCAGCAAAGCCCTGCCCAGTCAACTTGCCTCTTTATCATGGGTGGAAGAAAGCAGAACATTCACCAAACTCTGGTTTTGTGCTTTCCATACCTTTGCTTTTTCCTGATGCATTTTCACTTAAAAAGGAGAAAAGAAACCAACCGACCACCACCACCACTAATAATGATAATAACAACATTGCATATAATTAATAACATAACAATATAATATAACAATATAATATAATATAATATAATATAATATAATATAATATAATATAATATAATATAATATAATATAATATAATATAATATAATATAATATATAATATAATACCAATAATAATATATAGTACAAAACATTAATAAGAGATTATTAAATATTATTTATAAGTTCTATATATTATAATATATAATATATAATTTTTTAAACTGCTGTTGTAATAAAACCAACCCACTGATCAAAAAAAAATCCCTTGTTCCCAGTGAAGAGATCTGCATTCTTTCAAAATTTGTGCTGATACTAAACTCTGCTATTGATCAAAGATATAAGTTGGTTTTTGTCTATACCCATGTTGTGAAGTCTGTTGTAGGGATAGCTTGATGTTTTATGCAAGGAATCAGTCCTATGTAAATGGTCATAGTGAAAAAGTTTTGGAAATTTAGTATTCAGTTTTGCTGATGCAGCTGTAACCTTCTCTGTTTCTCTGTACTGTTCCCTTCCTGCAGAACAGAGCTCCTTCTGCCATGATTTTCTCTATTTCACAGTGGACTCAACCAGCAGAACTGGGGAGGATCATCACAGACCCAAGACTGCAAAGGTATCAATCTATCTATATGCAAAGTATATAACTAAGTATCCAACATACAGTTCAAGCCAGCAAGTATGCCTGGTAAGAGTTTTGACTAGCTAACTCTTTCTAGATCTGTGGAAATCCTTATTTATGAAAAGGAGAAATGTGTTGCATCCAAAACTGTTTGTCAACATCCAGACGACCAAATCATCCATGAATCCAGAAGCACAGCAGGAGGGTGGAGTAAAGACAAATCAGAGTCCTATTTAAAGTGGAATTTCTCTGAGTTCCCTAAAAACAGATAATTCAGGAGTTACTGGTAAAGAAAGACAGGGACAATGCAGGTACAATGTGAAAGCACTGCATGAAAATCCCTCCCCATGGATGCACTTGGATGGAAGAATGTTGCAATCTGCCAGACAACTAAAAACATACTACCCCTGAAGATAATTGCTGCTTCAGCCTCCGGCTTCCTCACTGCTTGGATCAGGATCTTTTCTTTGCAAAAGAAAACCCTTCAGTCTCATTGTAGTGACTCCAGTGCACAAGGCAGGGTGAATGCAGGACGTCTCAGCCTCTAAAATATATAATGTTTATATCTGTTGCATCTGCTTCTTTTCTTAGTTTAATCATTCAATCATCATGAGGTAAACCTTGCTTACAAAACATATATTGTTTGTATTGTAAGCAAGGACTATGTGCATCATACTCCAGTATCTTTTCCTCTACACAAACATTTTGAGTAACTCTGATACCAAGAGATCTGGCAAGTCTCCAAGAAAGATTCAGGATAGAAGTTAAACAGCCTGAATTGTTACAGTTCAGCAAGCAACATTTCTTTTTTTTCTGATGGATTCTGTAGTTTCTTAATAATTTCTGGACATAGAGCAGTAATGTCTCACACCTGGATGTCTTTGAATTGCTATAAGAGCCATCAGTGCAGGGGATTGTGTCCATGGACTCCAGATTGGAGTTTCCATCATGGATAATAATTTTCCTTACTTTTAAACCTAAAGCCTCATTTGTAGTAGATGAATGCAGTCAAACTGTTACATTGGGTCGGCAGGTGAAAGGATTCTGGTGCACAGGTTGTATCTCAGCTCTCAACCTCTGCACAGGTTGTATCTCAACTATCTTAAACTCTCATAGTAGTCCTTCAAAATTTAAGGCACTTTAAACCAAAATTTACCAATATTCCTTCAGAAAATTACACTTTCAGGCTTGCTTTTCTTTTGCAACTTCTTCCTTTAAGTGACTTAAAAAGCAGCTTCTGAGGGTATTTTTTTAAAAGGGAGTGAAATTCTTAATAAGGACTTAATGAGGCTTTTTAATCTATCTGCTAGTGTTCTCTCCCACCCCAACTTCTAGAGAATTGCATTACTTAGATTAGTGTCATATTTCACTGTGAACTGGGGCAGGTCACCCCTCCTCTAAGAAAAATGGCTGATGAAATATTTATCTAGTCAAATTATCTAAGCTGGAGCCCAGCATACAGATGACACAGATTGCAAAAAGGATGGGCAGGTGCTTCTTTGGGCTGCAGGGTAGCATTTAGCCAGTCTCTGAGGCTCAGAGAGGCCTTCCCTTATGCCAGTCATTGAGAGTTGATGATCTGTGCTGGGGTTTCCAGTGTTCAGATGTCTTGGCATAATCCAGTGGAGGTTATGCAGGGGATTTGTCTCTGTGACACTGCAAAGGGCAGTTCATGCTCCAGCAGACTGAAAAGCACAATTACTAAATGGCTGGACTTGTCTCTCTGGATATTTTTGAAGCATGTGCATTCTTCATGAATTTTTGCTGTCACCCGCAGTCACTGAGGACATCTTAATGACCCAGATACTGTGCTCATTTGACAAAATCTTACATATCTTCCTGGAGATAAATCTATTTTATTTCAATTTTCATCATGCAATGTGAGAAAAAGTAGGAAAGATGAACTTTTTCAAGCTGGCTATTCTCCACCATCATGCTAAAAATGTCTGTAAACAAACAAGCCTTTTCCTTAACTCTCACTGACATTTGAGAGACTAAAAATGACAACTTCAATTTCTCAGCAAACACTAGGTCTATGGGAGCTGGCAACATTCCCCTTGAAAGGAATTTAAATGAAAAATAATCAAATCATTTCCATCTCCAAGGGTGTGATATTGAGGAGATAGATGCCCTCTGTAAGTAAGTCTTTGGAGTTGGGTGTTTTGAGAACTGTCTGACTGAGTTGGTACTTTCTGGAGTGCAATTAAATATCTTTATATTTAAAAGAGGGAGGGAGGGAAGGAGGGAGGGAAATTCATGCCACTGCTTTCCTCTGCTGCCTTGCAAAGGAGCAGCATCTTCCACCTTTGTCTTATTCAGGGAATAATGAAGCATGTTACCCAGAAGCTGAACACTCTCCTATCTGTGGTGTCATGCACACAGGAATTTTTCTGTTTTCTGTTTCCTGCTCTGTCTTCTTATGTACTTAGAGAAGTAGAAAAGAATCTCTGAACGCTTCTAATTACACTAATGAAATTTCTTCTCTCAGAGCTAGTTTAGATTTCTGTTTTAACTTGCATTCAGGGAGACCAACCACATTATGCTTTTGGGAAACAAAAGAGCTGTCTCTGCTTAAGAAAGCACAGTGTATGCAAACCTGTCTTTTCTCAGGCTTCAGAAAATAAAGTCATGTCAGAGCTCACCTTTTAAAGCAACCTCCAATTCACCTTCTAAAATAAGGTCTGACCTGAGGTTTCTAAGTGGGGAATGAGGGAACTCTGTCAATACAGTACTTCAAATGAGCAATCATTTGGAGGGGTAGGTGCCTCAGGGTCAATCTATTTTCTTTGTTATCATTATAGTCCCCAGGGGAACTTTTTATTTCCCTAGCATGGCTTCCAGTTTGCACATGGAGAGGTGTAAGAATTCATGTCAAACATGATAGCATAACTCTACAGATTGGTCCGTCACACTCTCATCACAGAGATGACTTCATGAGAGCCAAGTGCCTGCATTACTGTGGATCTGGGTCTGCACAACTAAGAATGATTTCAGCTGGTTTTAACTTCAGCCTCTACATTCTCCCTTTCTTTTGTTAATTTGAGTGAACAGTGAGAAATGACCCATGACCCAGTGGAGGGTCATGTCAGCCTCTTGTAATGATTTACCACTGAATAGTGATGGTGTTATTGTTCTGTAAGCCATGTTTTTCTTTTTCACCAGCACTCAGAATTGCAGTCTTGAAATCTGCAAGAACTGCATGTGGCTGAGAAACAAACTGGATTCAAGGCACATATTTTTGCTCAAAAATTTAATAAAATTGCCTAAATCACTGTGCCTCATGCAAGGAGGTTCAGCTCTACTCCAAACCCCACTTATTTTGCTGGCTGTGAGATACAGAAACACCCATTGCCAGTGAGCATCCCAGCTCACTCACAGACATCACGTGCCAGCAGCTGATGGCATGTGCTTCCTGATGGCAGCCTTGCTGCAGCCTGCACTCCCTGCTGCTCTCCCTTCCTTCAGAAAGGGACTCCTGCTGGGCTGGGGATGTTTGTCAGCTCCCCAGAATCACAGAGCTGATCCTTGGCTGCACGAGGCTGGCTGCTGGGAGGTTGCCTTCTGCCAGTGGAGTGCCACAGGATGTGTTGCAAGCTCTCCATATTAATGGCATAGCATGAGGCTAAGCAGCAGGGGCTGCTGCCTGAGAACCTTTCAAGACACCGGCACTTTTATTTATTTATTCTTCCACTTTTCTTATAAAATCATCCAGAATCTTTTCACTGTTCCTGAGAACTTCAGCTTTGCCTTCTTTTATGAGGAGGTGGAGGAGTTGATACCTCCTGCTGCCTCCTCTGACCCTCTTGCTCCTTCTCTGCCATCACATCACATGAGTACAAGTCCTTTCCTTCAGGCAGCTTTTTCACTATTTGTGCAGGTAAATAGTGAAGTCTCTTTGCCTTTTTTTAAATTTTATTTTTTATTTGTCTGTGTGTATGTTTATGTATTTATGTTTCCACTGATTGCTGGAGATTTATACCAAAGGAATTGGCTATTTTAAACCATCTTCTCACTGGCATTTTTGCTGGATTAAGCACTGCCTGTAGTAATAGCACTGGGTAGTAATAGCTGCCTATATGAGAAACATGCTTTTCTGTCAATAATGCTCTGAATGTAGTTTGACCTGACCAGCTCTGGGGTCAGACTGAACTGTTCTGTAAGTCAAGCAAGAGACCCTGGTCATACCTCAATCAGATTATAAACTCTTTTTGCTGCTCCCTTGCATGAAGCCAAAAAGGAAATGAGGAGAATGAAGGAAATTAGAAGCTGTTCCTCCTTCCTGAGACAAGGTGTCCCCTTGAACAGTTGCTGTGTTTAACACAAGTGTTATGTGTGGGCATCTGGAGTGGTAGAATGACTGAAAAGCTGATGTGTTTCTAGACACTCCAGATTCCATCACTTCAGCAACAAGAGACTGAAGTGCCCTCCAAACTTTGTCTTCAGACAGGAGATCTCTCTCTACTTTTTGCAGTCACTGAATTCAAACTCAGCATCCATAAACTGTTCAACCATTTGCCATTCAGGGGGAGGAACCATGCACACTGATGAGATTTGAGATCAGCCACAATTTGGAGTGGAGACTGGAGCTAGGGAGAGAATGAAGGTACAGGAGACATGAAAACAAAAGGAAATGTCCATTTAAAATGGACAGACTCAGTATTGAAGACCTTGCTTACAGACAAGTGTCAAGCTGAATTCTGCATTTGATTCTGCTGCCTCTAATAATCAAGTGGAAAAGAGCCACAGCAATCTGAAGGTATGGCTCTTGGGAAACACACCCAATTTGTTCTTACCAGATAACTTCCACAGCCAGTACCAGACCTCTGAAAAGCCCAGAAGAGAAGGCCTCTCAAATCCAAGCAATTTAAATTCAATGAATGTGATTTGGCTTGCAGTTAGTTCCCTAGGAAGTAATGAAAGAGGTAATTAAAAGACTGGACAACTGCTTTAAGTAAAACATTATGCATTAGAGTGAAAGCATTTCAGATAAACTGTTTCCAGGCCATGAAAGCCAGCTCTTTGTCTCTCTGTGCATCACTACAGTGCCCCAGTTGCAGATGGGGAAATGACACCTCCTTTCTGAAGGTCCCACCACATCCCGCTTCTGTTTGTGAAGGAGGAGAGACACTTATGTTAGAACATGTAGAAACATTCATGAAATGTTAGGAATTTCCTTTACTCACTCCTCTCCAACAACTTTACTCCCCCTATGTCATCCTCAAAGACCTGCCCTCAACTTTCTTCTGGTACAGCAGTGGAACAAAAGAATCCCTCTTCCCTGAAAGAGGTGGATTCCTTTGAGTTAAAGATCTAAGGGATGCTGGGAGGATGCACTGAGAGTGAAAAGGGGTAATTCAGGTGAAGTCTTGGACAATGGAATTTGATCAGCACCTTCCTTTTTAGAAAGCAAAAAATACTGCTGGTGTCAGGGAGAGAGTAAGTCCCAGCCATGTCAAGGACAATGCTCCAATGGCAAGCAGCAGAGCAGGCAGAAAATTGTTCTCTGAAGAGGGAAAACATTTACTATTCAGTCAAGGAACTGGGTGATTTCCAACTTCCTAAAAGCCTAGGATAAAAAAAAACCTCACCCAATCATAAAAAATACAAAAGACCCCCTTTAAATAAATTTACCTATGTGAAGGTGAATAGCAGCAGAACAATGTCTGTGCAGGCATCAGTGCTCCACACACACCAGGTAGTATTTTTAAATACTATTAAATGGAAATGTGTAACTGCATCTCTGTAGTGGGTTTGAGCACACCCTAACTACCAACTGCATCAATGCAATCATTGAGATTTTTTCCTTCAACCTTCTTTTTTTACGAGGTGACAGTAAATCGCTTTTAACCTGCAAGTACTGATCCTTAGTTAAGATAAAATAATCTGATCCTGGAAATGTCTCACCTTGAACACCCCAAATGAATCACATGAAGGAAAATACTTGCTGCCTTTTCCTGTGGAATGAGCGAAGGGTTAGGCATTTCTTCCTTGCTCACAAAATGCCTTAAAAAGCTTTTTTTGGTTGTGGCATTGATGGTGCAGCCCAGTCAGTGTGAATAGGACTGCCAGTGTGTACAAGGGATGCAGAGATGAGGCAGGCTTTGCAGGGAGGAATTGCTGTTACTCTCTTTTGTGGCATTTGTGGGAAGTTCCTGTTGCAGTCCCATGACTCAGACCTTTGTGGGTTGGCAGGGTCCTTTCCTGCTCCTTTGACTCGAGGCTGATGCGAGGAGATTGTGCCTTGGGAAGGAAGGGCCTGCCAACCACCACACTGTGCCTTTAATATCACAGTGAGAGGAATCAGGACTAATCAGGAAATAAATCAGGTTTTCATCATTATAACTAAGAGATTGTTTCACCTCTGCAAATCAGTGCAATGGTGCGATGAAAACACAATTAATATCTTCTAGAAATTCCCTGGGTGCATCTTTCCATCAAGATTATAGGCAATAAAATTATTAATGTTCCAAAACAATTAAGCCATAATGAAAATTAGTAAACTTTCCCTATCCTTCTGCCATTATTATTGATTAATTCCATCACTGAAACTTTACTGAGAACATTTTTAAGTAGGACAAATATCAGTAAGGCATAATTCAAGTAGAGTTGATCTTGCCTTAATGACCTAGTGACATCTTGAGATCCTTTCCAGAACAGTTTTTCTCCCAAAGCATTTTGAAAATCTGTTTTCTCAGCAGTGATTTGTATTCATTTCACATGGGTAGAGATGAGGACACTAGCTTCTTGAAATAGGGAAGTCAATCTCTAACACATTCAGATCAGGTTCACTTTTAACTTTTAGACATTGAGATATTCAAACACCTGAAAAATATCTCCCTTTGACATAATGTATGCCATTTTGTTGATTTTTAGCAAGAAAAAATTCCTATTTGATATATTCTGGTTCTAAAGTACTAATTGATAAGTAAGCTTAAAACATACAGTAAAATATTTTTCCTGTAGTTCAACATTTTTTCATTCTGCTCATTTTAATTCTTTCTTCTTCCACTTTATTTAGCATTTCAGTTGCAGTTCATCTTGAATGACTTAGAAGGAAATACTTTGTCAGAAGTGTAAATTATCATTTCCTTCATGTAAAGTCAATTTTCTTTTCTTAATCAAACACAAACCAAGCAAAAAGCCAGAGAAGATAACTGATTTTTTTTCCATATTCTTTCTAACGTGATGAATTTTTGAATTTACTTTCATTAGGACTTTACATAACTTGTTGTATACGAGTTCTTTGTAATCTTATAATCACATACAAACTAACCTTAGGTACTCTTTAAGTATCTCTATTTGTTAACAGTAAGAAAAAAATAGTATAGAAAACATTACAACAAATCAAGTTATCTAGCTTCTTTTTGTTTTTCTCTGTATGACACTTCCCTTCTGTACAGGGACTTATACCCTTGGGTCTGGAGAGGCCAGAAGATGTTTGCAAGCATAGGAGGCAGAAACCAGTTTGGGTTTATGTTCCAAGGACCATTTGGGTAACTGCTCTGGACACAATTCCCTCTCAGCTGTAGGTACAAAAGTTTTGGAAAACTCTGTCTTGTTGTGTGGCTGTCCTTCAGAGTCAGGGTCTCCACATACAAAGAGCTGTGCGCATTGCCAGGCAGGACCCCAGGGACATGGGGTGGACTAAGGGACCACAAGGGGATATGAGTATGGATCCCTCAGGGGACTTCTGATTTCCCCTATAAATGTGAACTGATGTTATCTCTCTCTCCTGCATGGAAATCTTTACCTTGCATCAAGCATATAGATATAGACAGATAAAGTACATTTCACTCATTTTTTGAAGGCTAAAATCATGAACTCATAACATATCAAGTGCATCAGGATCCATTTGACACATTCTTCAGTGAATTGAATTGCAGTGCTGCCTTTCACAATGGCCTTGCTTACAGATTGAAAGGAGAGAGAATGTTGTACCTCCTTCTGTGGAGCATGCAGGATTTCATCATGGGTTACACCTGGTACCTACAGATACTTCTTTGTGCTATTGCCAGGTTATATCTTAGGAGGAATTCAAGGCTGAATCACTGCAATTATTAACAGCCCCATTGTTTTCTTCATGGCCATTGGACACAATTACCCCAACAGACTCTGCCAAAGATCAGGAGAGACATACCTTATCTTTTCAGGCTTCCTCTGACCTTGCATTTCTCCTACAAGGCTATTTTGTAGGGTGATAGTATGTCTAATTAAATCAAAAGAGGAGCTCTTTTTTTTGGTAGCTAGATACCACTTCAGACAATCAAAGAAATCTTTTATTTATTTTAATTTTAAACTGGATTGCTATTAAAAAGTATTACTAGCCTTGAATATCTTGATTTATGATCAGATCCTTTCCCAGCTTCGGAAACTCATAAAATAAGACAAAATTTGCTTGGGGTCATATGGTGTATGAAGGAGCTTTTGCACAGGGAATGACAGAGCTGCCTGGAATTTTATGAAAATGCAGATACTGAGCTATCAGCATGCCTGATTAATTAACACTTGTTTATGTTCTGTTTCTTTCAACCTTATTTCAACACTCCAGAACTGATTCCAATAAAAATCCTTTGAGAGTTCTTTTTCCTTCCACACACTTAACTCATGATTGCAAAAATCATTACCACTTTTGATTATAATCTTTAATTAGCAGGAAAATATATATGGTGAATTATTTAGCTAGCGTTCATTTTCATCGTGATGGTTTGACAGCTTTTGCATTAATAAATCTTTCATAGACCTGAAGACCCTGGATTGCCTTAGATGCAGTTGTCTAAGGATTTCCCTTAAACAATTTTCCTTCCAAGGACCTTAAAGCACGATGTGCTACCCAGGATTTTCCACTCCCAGGTGAGTTTCCTGATCACTAGCCTGTCTCTTCCTTATAGCTCACTTTATAGCTTAATGAATTTTTAAGAGCTTTTCTTCTCAAAACCAGAGGAGGAGATAACATCTCGGCACAGCCTGTCATGCAAGAGTGGTTGTGTGGCCTGAGGCCAAATCCATCACTTGTCTGCTGCTTGGCCTTCTGGGTTGGTTCTGGGACTGTTCAACTGGATTTCCAAGGAGGAAGACTTTGATTTTAGCTTATTCCTTACAATGTTCTCAAAGGACCCTTTACCTGCCTCACAGAAGCGCCTCAGGGCTTCTGTGCTTGATCTGGCATCCCATTTCTGTTAAATCCACATTTTTCGTGGGTGAGAACATTGCTTCAGACTCTCAGAAGGGCCTCAACATCTCTGCCAAGGCCTTTAGGGCTGTAGGCAGCAGAAGTTAAGGGTGTTCTATGGTTTGATCCATTTATATAAAGCAAAGTCTGTAACGTGCAAGGAGCTTCAGATTGGAGGATATCTGGTTTCCTGCACAAAACCATGCTAGACCCAGTGGGGGTCCCTGCCTAGTTGTTATGTAAGAAAAAAGCCTTTTAGACTGGGCCTAGGCTTGTTCTTTAAGGTATAACACTGTCCCTGCTAGTTCAGCTCTAGGCTTGCTATCCCAGCCAGCATGAAATGCTGAGTTCAGCAGCCAGTGAGCTGCAGCTCTGTGTTCTCAAGTTCTCTGACAACATTTGAGTCTATCAACACCTTGGGCTGTAGAGAGGATGCTGAGTTTAAGGTTTAGCCTGATTATTGGCTTGATGTGTTTTTCTGCTCAGTCTGATGAAATGTCTGTGTCTATAATTGCAAGCATTGCGGGCAGTTTCTTCTAAGTGAATGTAATTTATTAACTTTAATGAGCAAGTAAGCACCTAACCACCACAGAAAGAGTTGCCCCCCAAATCCTTAAATAATAATAAATAATACAGCCTCAAAGGACATCTCAGACTGGAGTAATTGCCCCATGGGCCATTATGCCCATACAATAAACAATTTAAAACTGTTTTAAATGCTTCCTGTCATCACTGTGGAGGAGAAATAATTTTGCATGGTTCATTTGCTGCAGTACTTAGTTATCTTTGCTGCTTCTGGAAGGAGAGATTTTTATCAGAAAAATTACTATAGCAAGATTGTGTTATTACATGTTTAGTTTCCATTAGGAAATTCTCAATCCAAATCAAACTAGAATCAATGCAGCAGAGGAGTGCTTGGAATGGAATAGCACAATTTGTTCAGAACAGGATGGTGCTGACCATCCATCTGGAAACTGGAATTTCAAAATATTTATGAATTATGCAAAAGTATATTACTAATAACAAACTCTGTTTGTGATCTTGTTCTGAACAAACTCCAGAACTTTGACAGATAACCTGAGACCAAAGCATAAAGTTTGATTAAAAAACCCCAAAATTAGGAATGAGAAATAGAGATTTCCTCTAGTAAGTTTCCTTTGGACATTTTCTGATTGACCCTTAACCAAATATCCAAACCCCTCAATAAAAAACTCTCAGGAACAACTTAACTTTTTACAAAAAGAACAAGCTAAAGTGAAATTCAGACATTCTGCTTCCAAGAGTGTCCACTCAGGATTTTATTACAGCTCAATAACTTCACTTTAAATATTTATTCAAATTGATTCTCCTGGTTGTCCCTACATTTCAATGTCCTCTACTGAATGCAGAAGTATGAGCATTGACAGAAGAACTAACAAGTGGATAGAGATTCTTAGAGTGTTATGGTGTTAATTTAAACAGTATAGTTCTTTCCTGTACAATTTGAGTAACATTTAATATTCCTAGAGTCAAACCACTTTTTGAGCCATCCTTGAATACAAGATGCTGCATCTCAAGGACTTATCACCAGACTTGCATCCTGACAAATTAATCTTTTCAATTCCTTTTTCAGCTTGTCAACTTTTTATGCTGGTCTTTTCACTAAATGGGTTGTTTATACTCATCACCCTTCATTGACTTTAATAAGATGTTTAAACTGTGATATTATCTCTTTTTTTTTAAGGGACTTGCAAGTCTGGCATCTCAGTAGGGATAGAAAGAATTAAAATGGTATTCCTGACAGCAGAAATGATTAATACAAGGCTCTTGAGAGGGCATTTTTGTGTTCACAGTGTTGGTATCATTATATTTGCTGAGATGACTTAACACAGCATCAGAAATGCGAAAACTGTGAACAGCCTGTTACCAAATTTCTAGTGTCTGTTGCACTCTGTGAGCCCACAGAGATGTGGGAAGTGAAGGAAATACCTGGTCAGAGCAAAGATTTGATGGGCAAATGCAGTACTTTGTTTTGAATAAGTAGAAAATAAGTGAGCATAACAAAGAAACATCTGCAAACCTGAATCTGCCCCCTAAGCAGCAGTTAAGTACTTTGCCTGGTGAGAAGAGCAGAAGGAGATCAGTTAACATGGCATCAACCCTGGGCAGCATGGGAACAAGAGGATCTTCACTAGGGGAAATTAAACAAAGCAAAGAGGTAAGAAGAGTTTTTTGTGGGTGGTTTGACTCTGGGCTTCATATATTCCGTGTGTAAGAGATGTGAGAGGGAGAATTAGCAATCCTGAGTACACTTCTGAAGAGCATTTCTGCTTCTGCTCCAAATATGACCCTGACTACCTGCCCACTAATCCAGACTGGCGTGTCATCACACCCAGTGTCTCCCCAGCCTGCAGGGAAAATGAGAATCCTACAGCCCTGGCTCCCTGTTTCCCTCCCCTCCTTGTCCATCACACCCCACAACAGGGCCCAGTGCTGCTCCTTGGTGGGAGCCCTTTGGCTGTGCTCCTCTTCTGGGCCTCCCCAAGGGAGCTTTTTGGTGCTCCAACAGGGAAGGTGATCATCCTCCCATGCAGCTGGGGTGGGAGGGGTGAGAGACAGAGATCCCAGCCCCACAGTCAATCCCAGCTACTTGTCCCTGCTCTGTGCTCCTGGATAACAGGGAAAGTCCCTCACCCTTCTGCTTGAGCTGGTGCATTTGCTCCCTGCTGCTATTCCACCTGTCACACTCCTGTGGTTGAGGGAGGACTCTGCCACTGCCTGTGGTATGAAACCCTTGGCTGCTGGGTACAGCAGAAGAGGAGTTGGTGAACAGGAGGGAAAGAAGTCAAGTTTAATGTCAAATCTATGAAAAGCAGAGCAGGAAAAATGAGATTGGGGGATGGGGATAAGGAGTGATGTCCTGGGTCATGGAGTACACTATTGTCATAGGTAAACAAAGTAAAAATCTATTAATTAAACAGGAGGTAAGTAAAACCAAGTTAATGGAAGATTAACTGATTGATAATTAGTTACATATACACAACCTATACTGTTATAATTAGATTAATTGATAAATTAGAAGTAACATCCATTTATTAAAACGTAGTAAAATTTTAAGTCCCTACTGAGTTTCCTGTCACTAATTTGTTTTGCCTGATAACTGCAAATCTTCCTCAATTTTAGCTTAAAATAGTTACTGACCACATTTAGGCAGTTAGTTCTCATGTCCCTTTAGAGAGGAGTGTATGTTTTGGGTGGACAGGATGGCACTGTCAGCTGGGCCTTGTGCACCCCAAGTGCCAAGGTGTAAGAGGGTACCAAGAGAGGTTTGCCTGTCCCTTCTCTCCCAGGGGGCTTGAATCAGCAGCCAGAGTGAAATCAGCAGCTCAGCACTGAGGGCTGGGCTGCTGACCTGCTATCTTTTGCAAGGGCATCTTTTGCAAGAGTATCCCCTCAACCTGTTTCTTTTAGGGAGAAATTAACCCTTGACTCTTTAAATAGATGCATTATATTAGTATGACAAGGTGCAAAGATGTTTTGTACTCTGTTCTGGGGCAGAGTCCACCTGCCAGCTCTACAACTTGACTTTCCTAGTTCCTTGTGTGACAAGTTGCAGCTCCTGCTCTCCTTTAGAGGTGGAAATCCACAAAAGAACCAGGAAGTAGTTGTGATAGTGGCTGATATCTCAGTAGGCATTTCCTGTCCATGAATGACTGCCCTAAAACACTTTGCAGCATTTGACCTTTCTTCCTGTGAGTAGCAAGCTCTTATTTATTCAGCTGACATGTGGGGTTCTAGGCCTATCCACTGGCATTTCCAAGATATTTAATAGTGACAGTAATTATTATAATCCTTCCATTCAGTAGCAGGCTCTAAGCCTACTCTTTCCATTGACATAGTTGATCTAAGTGCAGAATAAGTCACATGTTGACAGCTGGACTGAAAAGCCACCCACAGATGTTGCTTAATAGGAGCCTGAGTAAGTCCACCTACTGCTGGTACATTTAGTCCTTCTACAGGAGGCAGGTGTATAATCTCAGAAATTTTCCAGTTCAGCCCTTACAGATATGAATCATTAATGTTTTGTGCAAAGAAATAATGTCCTTTTTATCCATGGGGGAAAAATGACCACAGAGATGATAAAAAAGGTGAAGACAACTGGGAGACAGCTCACAAGCAGAAAGTAGCCAACTTTACTTCAAAGCTGGCTGCTGGTTTTCACTATGGGAAATAACACAGAAGCTTCTCCCAATACTCTGAGGTATTTTTTCATGTCTAACCTGGAACATTCCTGCTGTCTACAAGACAGGGTCAGAGGCATCAGGCTCTGAATGAGCAGAAATAATTGGACACTGCTATTGCTGGTGGCTCTGGGAGCTGTCCTGCTCTAGTTTTGAGTGAAATGGTGAACTTAGAGTTTGTATGTCCCTTGTTGTGTTTCTCTCTTTGTCCGCTGCCTTCCTATCACACCCACGCAGGGGATGGCCCAGACTTTGCCTCCCACATGGTGAAAGAACATGGCACCAGAGGCATAAAGAGAGAGTTGGAATTGAGGATAATGCTTACTAAGCAGTGTTGAACACAAAAAGGCCCACTGGCTTGTTTTCAGAAAAGAAGAGGCTTCTAGGACAAAGCCCAAAAAAGTCATCAACACAGAACCCTGTTTATTCCCATAGCCCTGAGACAGTGCTGAAAATGGCTA